TTTGCTAAGCACTAGTGCTTTTTGAGTGTTGTTGTAACAGCAACTGCTACATTTTGAAAGATGTAGTATGTTGCATTTTGGGCTAAGTGTTTTTACTGAATTCATGTTGAAAGTGAATGAGAGTAAAATATAGGGAAAGATAGAGGATAGCTGGAAATGAAACTTAGCAATGCTAATTTTGGGATAGAGAGAAAGCAAAGGCGAAAAGCTTTGGCAATTGAAATTCAACCATCCATTCTCACCTTGCATTTTTTTTTTTTTGTGTTTTTGATATTTTGCCTTTCTTTTCTTTTTTTTTTTTATAATTTTCAAATTAATAAAAGTAATTAAATCTAAAATATATATAAATAAATTTGAGCCTTAAATCGAAATGTTCAAATCATGTATAAAAATCGAATAAGTTCGAATTAATTGGATAAAATTAAATGTATACAGTATAATAACATTGTTAACCTTAATTACAAATATTACTTCCACAATTACCTATTAAATCCTAATTAACCCTTAATATGACTTGTTTAAAAATTGAAAGACCAATTTCCAAATGGTTGAGACAAAAATTGGAAGGGACAACTTTAATATAATGTTATTGATACATATTTATTAACATATACTTTTGAATTTTTTTTGGAAGAAAAAAAGACAATAAAATTCTTGGTGTATATTTTGTGTTCTACTTATGTACCATGACTTAGTCCTAACGCTAAATCTCTTTTCGAATAGTCAAAATGAAAGTGTATTATTAATAAATTTTTTATTATTTTAGAGTTCCAAAAATATAGCCTTAATTAATTAACACTATGTTTGGATTAAGGGAAAGGAAATGCAAGAAAAAGAAAATAAAGGAAAGTAATGGAAACAAAAAAACTTTTTGGTTTAAAGGATAAACTTTTAATTAAAAGAACAAACAAAAGGTGAAAACTCAATAACCTTTAGTTTCCCTTATAATCTTCATTTTTTTAATACCTTAATTTAAGGAAAAGCTAAGAAAAGAAAGTTGAAAAAATTTTATTTTTATAAAAAGACTATTATAGCCATATTTTTATTATTAGATTTGATTATGTAATTGACACTTTCTACAAAAATAATTTTTTTATAAGTATTTTATATAACATCAAAATTTATAAATATTTTTTTATTTTTCAAGTCTTAATAACAAAACAAGCCAAATTATTATTAGAATAAATAAAAAAGTTAAATTAAACACAAAATTAAGAGTAAATTAATTACTAGCTAATACATCTTATTGTATTAAATATACTCAATTTTGTTTAAAAAGATTTGTTTATAAAAGTTAAGTAGTATAAAGATATATTTATATATTATATGTTACTTTATTTTTAAAAAAAGGTTATAATTGAAAAAAAAATTATATTGAATTTTTTTTTTACTATTTATACAAACAATGGTTGTTAGAATTTTTTTTCTTTTCCTTTTCTTTATTAATTTTAATTATCTAAACAAATGATACATATATCATTTTTTTTCCTTTAAAAAACTTTTCTTTTTTTCTTTTCTTTCATTTTTTTTATTAATATCTATCCAAACATAACGTAAAACAGAATGTAGAAAAAAGAAGATAATAAACGAATGGCTTTGATCAAAAACTAATTTAGGGAGAACAACATATCACATCACCAAAACTAAGCCATAATTTGTGAAATTATTAAGCCAAAACTAGGTCTATATCTATTTGCTTCGCCTCTCAAGTCTCTTATAAACTATTGGACAAATTTGAAGAAAAAAAAATTATTGTAACGAAAGAGAACGAAGAAAATTTAAAATTTAATTCAATAATTTTATAAAATTATTTTAAAAATATAATATTTAACAAATTTAGAATTCAAATTTTGATACTTATAATATCTTTCCTTCTTCTTAAGTTACAATAATTTTATAGATACGAGTTCTTGGAATTTCTTAAATTTGTGGGGTACCATGGCATGCTACAATTACGAACTAGTTGGATATTCATATAATTGGTTTAAATTAAGGAAGCAGTCATTAATTTCCCAAAATTATAAACTAAGAAATAACAGCAACAAAGAATTATTGGTCCACAAATTAAAGACATTACTTATATCATTGTATATAACATGCAATTGCACAATCACTAAATACAGTAAAAGACACATTGTACGGTAATGGAACCGGAGCTGGTATGTCTTCTCCCTTTCATGACACAAAGGCAGTTCCATCAATGGACCACTTCCTTTCCTTTTGTTAATTTGCAGGAATGTTCCCAAATCCATTCCTAAGACTTACTCCATCTCTCCCTTAATCATAGGGTATATACCATTAAAACTAGAGCCTTATAGAAATTTCAAATTTGTTTTTTAAATTTAAAATTGTACCGCAAAGTAACGACACGAGCAAAAGACCAATGTGTACAAAAATAAAAGTGATTTAATATCCCCAAAAGCTGACATGTCATGCAATTGCAATAGAGATTTGTTTCATGTTTTAATTGTAAAACCATTCTGCGTGGCCAAAAATATAGATTGCATACAATTTTCTCCGAAAGGTAATGATGGTTGTTTTTTGCATCCTAATATTTACTCATTACATTTCATTATTTTTTATTTATTATATTTTATACTCAAAATTAAAATTTATCAAAATATTTAAATACATTATTTTGTGTAATTCAAAATTTTCAAAAATAAATTTGTAAAAATCCTAAAAAAATTTTGAAAATAAATGTTCAAACACCTTTAAGAGCTTTTAAAAATAAATATTTTCAAAAATGAATTTTTAAAAACTCTTAAAAGTTTTCGAAAATAAATGTTTTAAAATTTTTAAAAATTTTTAAAAATTTTAGGACTTTCATTTTCGAAAATCAGTTTATTCAATTGTTATCCCCAAATCTTTATTGCTACAGTTATTTTTCTAAAATTCTTTTTTCATTTTAGTAGTATATAAGATATTATAAATTTTGACAACAATATAATTTATAATTTATTGCTGAAAAGAAGAGAAGAAAATTATTGCTAATCTAGAAAGGAAATGAAGAGAAGAGAAAAAGAAAATGATATGAATAATAAAAAATTAATTAACTAATAAATATTTAAATAATTTCATTAAAAGATAAATCTATAATAAAATTTTTGAAATGCATTGAGTGGGTTTGAAGTGCGAATAGAACCACTCGGAGTAATTGATACAAGGATTTGACAACTTTACCCGAGTACATTTTTTTTACATTGGCAAGTACCTGATCGATCCCCCATTGAACACCAAGTTATGAAGTAGATCATGTGTTCTAAACTTCACTGGATTGAGATTGAAAGACCATGCTTTCATCCTTATCTCCATCATCTTCTGGTTGGAGGGTTGTGTTTATTGCCCATTGCCGTACTTTCCTTTTCTCTCTCTTTTTCATTGATTTTGGTGATTTAAGTGTGTCTATTTTTCACTCTAATAAAGACTATAAATGTAATAATATTTTATGGGCAAAAAATAATAATAATAACAATATGTGTATGCTATGGAAAGAAAATGTTTTTGACGAGGTATTAAAATTCAAAATTGTCAATTCAAAGCTCCTAAATTTTATTATATGAAATTTAATTATATTTTATTTTTTAACACAAGACATAATAATCAATGAAAATTTGATTTAGTGACAAGGAAAAAAATTTAGAATCATGAGATCTTGGATTTTTATAAATATAATATTTAATTATGATTATAATTTATCTTGTATTTATAATTTCATAAAAAAAAAAAAAAACTTGAGACTTAATAAACTTTCTTTTAATTATAAAAGTAATTTGTTCCCTGGTAGAGCAACAGAAGAAAAGGTAAATGTAAAAATTGGGGGGGCTGATGGAAACAGTGAATTCGGGCAGAAGCAAAGAAAGCAACCATATCTGCAGAACAGTGAAAAGTATAAACTTTTTGGACTGAGGAGAGGGGGAGGGCAAAAAGACCACCAGCCTTGAGCCTTAATAAAGGAAAACTTCTCGTATCAGAAATCCAGCTAGGTAGCCAGTCCAAATGCTTGGTGGTGGACATGGTTATCATTTCTCACACAGTAAATATCAAATTAAAAAAAAGGAAAAAGAAAAAGACAGAACTTTTGCAGCAGATGAGAAGATAAAAAAAAAAAAAAAATCATGTATCATTCATCAAATGGACCACCAGTTAGACTGCAGTGAATGGAATCTTGATCTCCCAAATTGCTTCAATTCTTTTAGAGGGACAGACACTCCTTGCCCGGGGCTATGGGGTCCATTATTTTTGCTGAACTTTCTACTTTCTGGAATGGTAAAATTATACCAATATTTATTATTGAAAAGAGTCCCAAATTTATCCCACCAGTATTTATTGCCAATGCCTCAACTTGAACCAGAACTCCAGAAGTGTCAAACAGGGTTTTGGTCCAGTAGTAAAATTACAAAATGCAAATTTTGTTTTGGTTAGATGAACTTGTGAAGAAAAAAAAAGGGGGGGGGGGAGGGGACGATATAATGAAATAATAGATGATTATATTTAAAAATTCAGAGAAAGTTCATCCTACTGTTTTCATTGGTGACTTGTATAAAATGCTCCGTTCAATGGGATACGAAATATTAAAAAAAATAATATTTGCATTGATTATTCCAATATTCTTGGATCAATCTACAAAATTTGATAAATAAATGGACTGTGATCATTTGGTTATATGCCAATGTCTACCAATTAATGATCAAAGAAAAACAAACTAAAGAATTGTTGACTATTCCTATTCATTGGTACGTAAGCTCAATTTGAAATTACCAAATTCAAGCAAAAACATCTTATTCTTATTCTTAGAGCTTTCTTAAGGGGGGGGGGGGGACTCTGTTATAAGTGGCATTTTGGTAATTCGAAGTTTTTGCTGAACATCAGATACTTAAACTTGGTAATATCCAATCTCTGTCAAACCGAAGAATTTTTTCCTTTTTTTTGAAATGTATCAATACAGAAAAATAAAAATAAAAATGAAAAACAACTAGAAAGGAGGAGAGATGCAAAACTACAACAATGGAAAAGAGAAGAAAAGAAACTGAAACTCCCACTCTTTTTTATTATTATGCATAGAGAAAAGTATCTACAAATTCAAACCCACCTCCCCAAAAAAAAAGTAAAAATGCAAAATCAAAATGATCCGAAAACAGTAACATACACTATACTGCCCCATTTCTTCACAGCCTGTAAGAAAAACCTTGAAAATCCGTGAGAAAGCCGACAATTCAAGATAATTCCTAGCATCCCATGTGGGATTCTTCTTTTTTTTTTCCCCTCATCAGCTCTCTCTTTGTTGTGTCACGACATAGTTGTTCGGTTCTTGCTGTGCGTGTGTGTGTGTGCGCGTTTGTTTGTTTTTCCCTCTTCTCCTCCTCTCTGTTGTAAGAGGCACTTTCCCTGAGGAAACAAACCCTGTTTCAACTTCCTCTTAGGCTTTTTGTTTTTCAATATGTGGGAGTCAGCGATTGAATCTGTCAGAGGGAGAGAATATGGGAATGGAGTCCTTAGCTCCAGTAAGCATGGTGTCAAGACTGATGGTTTTGAGCTTAGGGGCCAATCCTGGTATGTTTGTGGAATTTATATCATACAATCTTGTGATATATTTGGTGGATTTCCGGGTTGCATGCGCAATAGTTTCTAGACTGTGTTAAAAAAAATTAAAACAAACAAATTATATATCATCTATACATCCTTAATCCTATTGGAAATATCTTAGTAATTTGTTTCAGAACAATTACTTGGAGCAAAGTTAGCTTCTGAAAATTTTGTCTTTTGTGCAGGTACGTTGCTACTGATATTCCAAGTGACCTTCTAGTTCAGGTTGGAGATATCAATTTTCACTTGCACAAGGTAGCTGTTGCTCTGATTAGATGTTTGAAAATTTTCTATATTCCCAAAAAGCTTCTAAATTCAATTTTCAGTTACTAAAATTATTGATCGGAAATCATATGACTAACTGGATTTCTCAACTTGGGGAAGTATCCCCTGCTTTCCCGAAGTGGAAAGATGAATAGGCTTATATATGAGTCCCACGACCCAGACCTGAACAAAATTGATTTGGAAGATCTCCCTGGAGGACCTGAGGCGTTTGAGCTAGCAGCAAAATTCTGCTATGGTATTGCATTAGACTTAACGGCAGGTAATATATCCGGTCTGAGATGTGCTGCAGAGTACCTTGAGATGACAGAGGACTTGGAAGAAGGAAATCTCATATTTAAAACTGAAGCATTTCTCAGTTACGTTGTCCTATCCTCATGGAGAGACTCAATACTTGTACTGAAAAGTTGTGAAAAGCTCTCACCATGGGCAGAAAACCTTCAAATTGTTCGAAGATGTAGTGAGTCGATAGCTTGGAAGGCTTGTGCCAATCCAAAAGGAATCAAATGGGCATATACTGGGAAACCCTCTAAAGTTTCTAGCCCCAAATGGAATGATTTGAAGGATTCAAGCCCCAGTAGAAGCCAGCCTGTTCCTACTGATTGGTGGTTTGAAGATGTTTCAGTCCTTAGGATTGACCACTTTGTAAGGGTTATTACCGCAATCAAGGTCAAAGGAATGAGATTTGAATTGGTTGGGGCTTCAATAATGCATTATGGAACCAAATGGCTTCCTGGTTTAATAAAAGATAGTCAGGGGCAAGCAGATGATACGAGCAGCAGCAGCAATAGTAATAGCAGTGGCAGCAGTAGCTGGAAAGGTGGACTCTATATGATTGTAGCGGGAACTAAAGATGACACTTCATCCATTCAGGCCAAAGATCAAAGGATGATCATCGAAAGTCTCATTAGCATAATTCCACCACAGAAAGACAGTGTGTCATGCAGTTTTCTTCTTCGGCTTTTGAGGATGGCAAACATGTTGAAAGTGGCACCTGCTTTGGTGACTGAAATGGAGAAGCGGGTTGGTATGCAATTTGAACAGGCTACGCTGGCAGATCTTCTCATTCCTTCTTACAACAAAACCGAGACTTTGTATGATGTGGACCTTGTTCAAAGACTCTTAGAGCATTTCCTAGTTCAAGAGCAGACAGAAAGTTCGAGCCCAAGTAGGCAATCTTTTTCTGACAAACACATGTATGAAGGAACACCAAGGGGCAATAATCCAAATGCCAAGATGAGAGTCGCCAGGCTAGTTGATAGTTATCTCACAGAGGTTTCCAGAGATAGAAACCTATCTCTGACAAAGTTTCAGGTACTGGCAGAAGCTTTGCCTGAGTCTGCAAGGACCTGTGATGATGGACTTTATCGAGCAATTGATTCCTATCTTAAGGTAATCCTTTTTTCCCCTTTTCTTTTAAATTGATTCTATATGGACAAGCTAGAGACAAGAGAAAATCGAAGTACAGCTTAAAATATGACAATATTATATACTCTTGTCCAATATACTTATTTTCACACTCATATAACTTATATGTTTTCAAAATTTTATTATAAATCATAAAAATTATAGTACTTTTCACTTAAGTTCTTAGAATAAAAAATGAATGTGTGAAATGAGTGCATATTACACTGTCCCCTAAAATATTCTTAATTATCTTAGGCAGAACATAAAACAATAATTGATATGTTAGTCAATGACTCAATATTAATTTAACACATGAAAATTTTCATATGGATAATAATTGCTTACATGTAATTCTTCTGATCAATTTATATTATTGACATATAAGATAATTCTTTAATTGTAGTTATCTATCAAATAGTTTTTTTTATTTAAATTTTAAAAATGCTTCAAATCTTTAAAAAATTAGATTTATTCAAATCTTTTGATGTTAAATAATTTCTAATTTTATTCCCATTTAAATGAGATAAGGTTAATGTGATCATTCTAATGAAAAAATTAAAAATTAAAATCTCATTAAAATTAATCCAAGCATTTTTTTTATAAAACATGTACATATTTTTTTTTTATCTTGCATTTAAACTGTACAAGTATGTTGAAAAACAATTTTGAAGTTTTGGATTTCATTTATTGATTTATTTTTTATTATTAGTATATATTATGTAAAGCATGGACATATTTAGATATTACGTTTTTATTATTATATTTGTAATATACATTTTTAATATTTTTCATCTTAAATCAATCTATTTTTGTGTAATAATTAGGCAAATTAAATACATGCATGGAAGATGTGTATTGTTATAATTTCATTATGTATAGTACATATATAATCAAACTTTAACTTTTCAGTATATAAATTTAAGCAAAGTGTTATAAAAAGATTTTCATTAATAAGTTAAAAAGACTACAGGTCCATATAAGAACATATAATACTTATAGTTATTTTTTATTTGCATTACATTAATATTTTTTCAATGTTTCATATGTCCTATGAATATATATATATATATATATATGTATAGAATAATGGTAATTATCTATAAAATTTCTTAAGAAAATAATTAAGAATAAAATAGGTGAAAACATATTTTTTATATAGATGGTGAATTGAATCTTTAGTGTGGGATTAGATCGACATCAAATAGATAAGAAGATACTAATATCTAACAAAATATTCATTAATCAAGTAATTAATTTTTAATTAAAATAATATTAAATTTTAAAACAAATTAAATTATTAATTTTTTTTACTATAAATTTTTTAAAGTCTTTTTACTATAAATATGCAAGAAGACAAAGTTAAAAACAAAAATATTCTCTCTAAATTTAAAATCACACATATCTCAACTATCTTTTTCAATTTTCAAATACCTTATTATTAGTTTTTTTTTATTCAAAAAACCCATGCCACTTTAACTATTAATAATATTTTCTATGTTTTTTTTTTTTAAGTATTCAATTTTTCTTTAAGATTTATATTGCTTTTGTGATTTTGTTGTTTATTTTACTTAGATGATTTTTTCTTTTGACATTATTTTTATTTAATTTTTTTTGTTTGCAACACATTTCTTAATTGAATTTTTTTAGTCTTTTTTATCAAATCATAATTTATTAAAAGTATGTCAATACTTCTTTTATTTTTAATTGATCATTTAATATTATATTTTTATTTTCTTCTAAAAAATCTGTTATATTTATATTTAATTCTTTTTTATTTTTTTATTCATATCTAATGTCTCTTATTTTTTTCACATTTGTTTTTAGCATTTTGATCCAGATAATAATAATAAAGTTTAATTTTCTTATGACATGTTAATTATATATATTTTTATATTTTATATATGTCATAAAATTTTAAAGACTTAATTAGATATAGTTGTAGGAAAAATATAAATTTTGTAATGTAAATACATATTTAAATAAGTAAAATAATCCATACATTGCATGGTTATGAGCTAGTTTTAAATATATTTTTAGAATTGAATGTATTTGTTTTAAGATTTTAAATTATTTTTTTATTAAATATCATTGAGTGATTCACTGAAAATATATAATGTCTATACACCAATAATATATCAAATATAATCTCCTAAAAATTTTCCATTTTCTAGTAAGCACTTAATATTTGAACAAAGCTTTTTGGAGTTGGATCTAACCATTTTTAAGGTTGACTATAATTTCCCTGAGTCAACATGATTTTCTTTGGAATTCTCATATCTGGTTAACAAATTGACAGGCCCATCCAACACTCTCTGAGCACGAAAGGAAGCGACTCTGCCGTGTCATGGACTGCCAAAAACTCTCCATTGATGCCTGCATGCATGCTGCTCAAAACGAAAGGCTCCCCCTGCGAGTCGTGGTGCAGGTGCTCTTCGCGGAGCAAGTGAAAATTAGCAATGCATTGGCCAACAGCACCCTCAAAGATCCCGCAGAAACTCAATACCATCACTTTATACCGAACCGTAACACATTACTTGAAGGGACACCACAATCATTCCAAGAAGGATGGGCAGCTGCTAAGAAGGATATTAACAGACTCAAGTTTGAGCTGGAAAGCGTGAAGGCAAAATACCTTGAGCTCCAAAACGACATGGAGAACTTGCAACGACAATTTGATAAGATGTCAAAGCAGAAACAGACATCCCCATGGAGCAGTGGATGGAAGAAACTAAGCAAACTCACTAAGATGACAACCTTAGAAAACCATGACGTCGGACCTCAAATCTCAACCACGGCCGATCAGACTAGAAAGGCACCTAGAAGATGGAGAAATTCAATTTCATAAAAGGCGAAAAGGTGCAAGAAAAACTGAAAAAAGAAAAAAAAAAAAAAGGCATATAATTAATCAAAGAAAGAGGTGCCTCACCTCTACATTTCCATGCATCCTGTCTTGCTGTGTTTTTCTCTTCCCTTTTTTTCGTTCATATTCTTCTCACTTTTTTTATCTACAGCTTTTACCCTGAAAAAAAGAGGAAAACAGAAAAGCCAGCATGAAACAAAAGTAAATTTGTCACTCAAAACGTGTTTCTTTCTATGTGTGATTCACCGATTTGCTTTGGAGAGTGTGATGATTCTTCTGTAATTTTCAACTTAGTACCCACTTGTTTTCCAAGTGCACATCACATATTTGCTCTACCTTATCAGATAAAGATAGTGCCAAATCAAACATAGGAAATGATGAAGGAGATAAAAATACAGAGAATCAACTACCAATGAGTTTCACATGCAGAGATAAGGATATCAACTAACAATAATTTTATCATGCATGCAGAGATAATAAAGGATATGATCATGCTCGCTGTATAAATTAGACCAAAAGCAGAATATCACATGGAGAGATGTTCGTGATTAGATAGAAATCAGGCGGAAAACAGTCACCTAAATTTCATACACAGCCAAAAAAAAGCCTACTAATTAATGCATGTGCTAAGTTTTCATGAATTCTGTCAATTTATCTTGGCACCATCATTCTTTTTTTTAACTTGAGACTCATTTGAGCGCTTGGCTTAGAAGTTAAATAAATGGACGAATGGCAGAGAAATAGTAAGAAATCATGGATTTAGGTAAAAGCCACCATTTCTATGTTAACTATATTCTACGTCAATGAAGGTCTTTTTAGCGTTGCTATTGCTGCTGAAGGGTGAAGATGACTTGTCTGGCTTACAGTAGTAGTTAAAGCAACTTAGCATGTGAAGCAACTTGCCATTATTTAAGTCATCTTCACTTTGTTCCAACCTTGTTTCCATCCCATCTTAGTGGCGCCTCAGTACGATCTCAAACTTAATTCCCTGATGCATAACAAATCATCCGGATTAGAGAATTCTAATAAAAACTCATTTGGTTGATAACGTTTTATGTGTTCTAAAGGCCCCAAATTTCAGAATTTTGTCACAAATCCTGTGTCCTTTTGCTTTAATGGTATGTTGTTTGAGTAGCTGATTCATCCTTTTATCTCTCATCTGAATTGAAACATGTGATCATCACATAATTTTGGTCGAAATTACTGATCAGGAACATAAAAAGCAAGATCTGTTATGCTACTGGTGAGTAACCAAATAGAGTGGTTTATAATCAGTTATACTCCATTAAAACCATTCTTATAATAATATCGGTGAGCTTTGAAGGCAGAGAAGCAGTAATTATATCAACCAAGACTAGAACCAACCAGGTTTCAAATTCTATAAATACTTCTTCAAAGATAAAATGGATATATGAGTCAAAATTTGCATGCCCTTGGGTCTCTCTTGCCTTTCTTTTTCGGTTTTGCTTTTCAATTCATGACAAGTAAAACTCCAATCTTGTCAACAATTTTGTTTTTATGCAACCCATTAACCCATGCAATTCTATCAGCAATTAAGTTGTGGGAAAATGTTCTTCCATTGCAAGACATAATAAATTAGAATGACTTTGAAATTAAAAACTTCTAATATAGGATTATTTGCAAGCCCTAATGGGCGGTGGAACCCTGAAACAATAATCTCTTCACACTAGGAAAAGACAGCCCTCCAACAATTAATATAATAGAATCACAATAAAATCTTTCTTTCATTCCTTCGGATCACATACGCATGCAAACATGAATAGATATGACAACAAGAACGACAATGACTAGGCAGAGAAGAGAACAAGAAAACAACAATTATTCGTCTAACTCGAGAAGTTGATAGTGAGAGATCCCACATCATTAATTTACCCAAATTATAAATTTAGTACGTTCTCTACCTACTTTCACTGCAATAGAGACTTATATATTTAATCTTTGCTCCCCTTCAGGTGTTTGAGATTAAATTTTGGACATGTTGGAATAGTTACGAATGCAATGACAAAGAAAAAACCTTCACTCTAATTAAGAAAAAAAAAATCAACATAATTGGGCAGATTTTACCATCCTTGTGGTTTCAAAAGTGGGCATATCTATCTGTCATGAAGTTTCTCAAGAGGTGGACGACAAAAGCTATCTAAACCTACAGTTTAGGCATTAATAAAAGCGATGCATGAACCAAATTCCTCGAAGTCCACTCTTCATGCAAAAAAAGGGTGCCACTGTTAGTTGCAAAGTTACTTCGAACTTAAGTGAGTGATTTTGGGTTAAGATTTTGGAAATCCTGGAATTTAGGTTGTTTTATCACCTTGTACCAGCACAATGTCATATCATTGAATTTCATGGACAAAATGCTATCATTCAACAGTAGTGATGGGAAACAAAATTAAAAATAATGAAGGTTAAATAACCAAAAAAAAAAAAAAGTTCATCAACTATTTCATTTTTTAAATAAATTTTTATATTTTTATTCTTTAATTTATATCCAAATAAATTCTTATTTCAAATAAAATATTGATTTATATTAAGATATTATTTAGGTATAAACGTAAATTGATCTACTTGACAGTTAGGAACCAAGTAATATGAAGCACTTGTAGAAAAGATGAGTCTGGATTATTTAAAAGGAAAACCAGCATAGCCAAAGATAATAATGCTTTTTTTCCTAAAATAGCCGTAGAGAAAAAAGTAAAAAAAAAAAAAAAAGAAAATTTCTTATTTGTTTTTATCTTTGAAGGCTTGTAAAAGTTTTTATTTATTCGTTGATTAGACACCATCATATATTTATTAATAGTGTATAAATTAAATGCATCAAATATAAAAAAAAAAAAAAAAAAAAAAAACACAACTTTTCAATCAAAATTATTAGAAACCAGAAGGTGTAGAATAAAAGCCTTTGGTGTAAATTAATCAGTTGAATTAATTTTTCATGCTCAAAGACAACGACACATTCCATATATCGAGTGCGTTGTAAAAATATTTGCCTAGTTGTCATTCAGCTTGGCAAATTGTCGTTACTCTCTTTCAATTCCACCGCTTGAAAGGCTGGAACCTTCGGCTCCTCTGTCTTGCTTTTTCTTCTTCTACGACTAGGTTCCTGAACCCAGATTCACACTACACCTGCTCACCTCGCCTCACTAGTCACTATAGACGAAGCGGGAATGAAAGAACAAAAACAAAAACATAGATCGCTGAGGTAGATCAGCTCAAGATACGTTCACAATTATTACATAATAGCCATCATTAATGTGTTAATTATCGTTTGTACAGCAAAACATAAATATCCTCTGCTGGCTTCCTCGACCAAACAACCCACTTTGAAGAGCATGAAAAAGACCATGAAAAAGGTTATCTTGATTAGCTTGCTTGAAAGTTGGAGTATGTTGTTTTAGGCACTTTTTTTTTTTTGAAGGGACTAAAACCTTCCGTATTAATCTTTGTATTGCTGTCAATTTTCATTTCCGACAACTATAAGAAATCACAAAAAAATATTGCAAATTCACACATACTTGCTATTGACATGATAGTACACAACACACATTTTATACTTGGAGCTCAAACTCAATCGCTCATGCTGCAATTATTAGTACACATCATCTGCAAATACCAGAAGCAAAGCCAAAAAGTTCACACCCAAGGAAGGACTATGGTAACACACCACAACCAAATACTGTACAAGTACCAGAGTTTTCTCAGCACTCACGTGAAAACAAGCCAAACTTTTACTGCAAGATTTGATCAAAGATGGACCCCAGAAGAAGAAAAAACAGAGGATGCACTGTCCATGCATGTACATCCCAGCACTGGAAACTTTGTCTTCATGCTTGATACTTTAGGGAGAGATAATATCAAGCATGATGTGTTTTCAAGGTGAGAAGAGAGGACAAACCATAAAATCAAGAGGAGAAAAAGGAACAGGGTGGATAGTGGGACCCAAGTTTACCTAACGCGCATGCACTAAATCCATTGGGGCTCTCAACAATTCCGTAAAAGGGGGTCCTCGTTTTACAGCACAGACCACCACTAGCAATCTCCCCATGCGTTCAAAGCCTCGATGACTTTTTTTGCCCCTAATAAATCCCAACGAAAAGCTAAACAGATAATCATTTCTGGTCAACAAACAAAACCCTATTTTTATCCTTCACCTGCTTTAAGCAAAAGAGCTAATAGCATCCCGTTACCTGCATCACTACCTTTATTGGCCCATTATATACAGAATACAGCTCCTTGAGAAAGTAAAAGATGACAAACGGAGGGACCCCACAAAGCAAAAGCCAGTGTAGTGATTTCAATCTCATCAATCATTCAAGCTTAGAATTAGTACTTCTTTCTCATCCTTCTTTCCCACCACTTAGCCAATAAATTACTATAAAGGAGGGAGTGCACCTTAGTAGTGGTGCAATCCTAAAGTCGTGGCTTCGAGCTTTAAAGACTTTAAGTAATCTATAGATTCATCAAGGACCAACAATGGGTTTTTTCCCTTTGCACCAGGTATTATGCTCTCAAGAATTTTTAACGTCAAGCGAATCTTATCCTTCTTTGATTGTTCCTTACGTAAAATGGAATCCATTTCCTCTATTTGATTCTGTCCAATAGCATAGCTTGATTCTGCATCACTATCATACCCATGAGAGCCTTCCAATTTCACTGAACGAGCAGCACCCACCATTATTGATTGCTTATGCCCACCATTCAGCAGTTTTTGCCTTTTGTTTGGACCATCAGAGCTAGCAACTTCCTCGAATATATGATAAACATGGTCTTGACTCTGGTAGTTTCGTTTAATTCCAATAGGAGAGTGATCGGTGCTCATTACTTCATCATCATCATCATCATAATCATCCTCTTCATCAGAGTAAAGTAAGGCATTGAGTTCTTCAGTGTCTTCATGCATCTCACCCTCTTCACCACTCAAATGGTTCTCATCATATTCCTCCTGTAAAGTTGGTGGTGCCAGAGTAAAAGGATTTGTTTTAACTGTTTGCCCTACATGCAAGTCAAGACAAGAAGCTAGTTCTGTATTAGCAGTGGTTGCATGCTGGGATGAAGGGTGAATCGAACCATAAATTAACCTTGTTTGACTCCCTGACTGATCAAAAACTACCAGTCCTTTCTGCAAGGAGCCAGAGACCATATTAGCTGTAGCCCTGCCACTGTGCCCCTTAGCAATCATGAATTGCTGTTCGTTGAGATATGAACCTGGAGAGGGCAATGAAGTTGCGAAACAGGGGTATAACTGCTGAAGCAGCTCATCAGAATGATATTTTTGTTCTGTTTTTAAAACAGAAATATCTGCAGACCGTGGCATTGCAACATTTGCAGGAAGCACATGCATGCCAGGATTTATACCAGGAATTAGAGATGCCGGCATTGACATAAACATGTGAGTGCTGGGATTTAAACATGCAGGCAAGCATTCTGGTTGCCTGGGCTCTAATGATGAGCTCATGCAACTTAATTTGGGCAGTTGCCAAGAAGAATGCTGTGGGGAAAACCAAGAATTGTTGGTCTGAACCATCCAACTAGAACAGCCACCTGCAGATGACAAATGAGAAATTTTTTATCCCAAGAATGAATCAATAAACTAGTAAAACTGAAAACCAAGATGTGGTAACCATACCAGTAGATGGACAATGCTTGATCTTGTATTTACAATTTTTTAACACTTCTTTAACGAACAAACGTTGAAAGAAAAAACTACAAATTCCCGCTAGATAATATACCACAAGTATGGAATCCACAAATTCAGAATCTGTCTACGTAACAGGTTTAAGCAAATGACGAAAGTACTCAGCCTGGAAAACAGCAAGATTGCCAGGAGATCAATTTAAACAACCATTTATAAAAATGATTATTAATACAAAGAATTAATTGGAGCAACAGTTAGCCAGAAGAAAAAGAAATTCAAAGAAACTAAAATTTAACTAACCTGGCAATCCTCCATTGGTTGAAAGCATGCAATAACTCTAACTACAATGGTTGGTTTTCCGGCAATCCCATTTTCATATTTTAATGCTCGAAATCTGGTTTGACCTGCTGCTTGGCACACCATAACTACTTTTTTCTCCCTTAGATTAACCACTATCCTATCAAAATAGGATGAGAACAGAAACAAATCCCCAAATAATAAAGCAGAACAAATCCACCCAGGTACAAGACCAATAACAGATCTAAAATGTACTTCAGAATGATATGAAATCAAGAAACTGGCAGAAGAAGCATGAATTAAGACTAGTATTGAACTTCCAATCTTTCTAACTAATCCTATATTGATCATGAAAAAAGACAAAAAGGTGGGTAGATCCCATGGATGATTGAGCAAAGTACAGCTGGCTTATAAGAAAATTAAGGTAAAATGAAAGAGGTAAATTTTACAAAATAACTTTGCAGTATAAATTCAAGCGCACGACATTGCGGAATACATCAACCAAGACACTCAACCAAGACATGCTGTTTCCGCTCTATGTATCACCAAATTATCAACTGCTGCTATGTTCTTATTTGTACACAACCCAATATTTTCTGCAAAAAGAAAAGGTCTCATAAGAACAGAAGCACGACCACAAGAAATCAAAAAACATAAGGCACACTACAAAACAAGGAAGTGAAAACAGGATAATCCACTTGTTTGAAGAGATATTGCAAGAAAATAAGGAACAAAATTTAAATCTAAAGACTGGTCAATAATGCTAATATGTAAAACAATAATAACAAATTCCACATTTTCTTTCTTAGAACGGAAAAAATTCTTAAATACGAAATCCAATTTCATTTCTCTCCCACAATTTCTCATATGAGTATTAACAATCATAACAGGTTTCGTTTTTTATCTCTCTTAAAAGATATATGCAACAACAAATACTTAATTATGGTAAATGAAAGAAACTTGTAAACCAATCAAATAAATTTAAAGAAAAATCTTATAGTAATATCTGCTGTTTAAAAAAAACAAGGAGAATCAAAACTAAAACATTTCCAATGTTAAACAGAGTTTGTTGTATAAACTATGCACATATAAAATTAAAAAAAAAATTAGTGTAAAATGAAAATCACAATCTCACTTCATTTTCTTTCCCTAGGCCTTCTCAGCAAGCAAATAGACATAAAAAATCCACAAAGAAAGAACAAATAGAAACCCTAAACAGAAGGCTAATAATAAAGTCATAAAGTCACAAAAACCAAACTTAACATGTACAAAAGATGGTGAAATCAAGCCCCAAAAATAAATTGATTAGATAAAACCCAAAGAAGCTTTTTCTCTCAAATCCTCATAACGACTAAACAAATTGTCAGGTAAAGCTACATGGAAGAATAAAACACTTAAAACCCAGAAATAATATAGGAAGCCGAAAACCTTTTTTCTTTCTTACTAAACATGAAGGGAACAAGACAAACCCATCAAGCTATAGGTAAGGAAACAACATAAAACAACATGCAAAAATCATAAAAAAAAAAAAAAGGAAGGGAACTTGGATATAACAAACTTACAGAGGAAAACTACGGTTGCTATGGTGGGATCCAAGGTACCCAAGAGATAAGCTGAAGACAACAGTTAAACTCAAAAGAGACAACGGATATGTGTGTGCGCGTCTAAAGAACTGACTGAAATAAGATAGACTGAGAATATATAGACAAATTGGATACCCATTTTACCCTTTCTTCGTGCAATTATTGTTTAGTGTTTCGAACAGTAGTTGACCCATGTTCGTGGTTAAAGTAACCTTTCTGTGTAAATCTTTAGTTACCGTTGATATCTTTCTTTTGGGTTGGCCGAACATTGTTAATCTCATAAGCCATAAGAATAGAGTAGACTGATTCCATTACGACAAGAACGGGGCCGTATTTGGACCAGGCCCACTTAACTGACCCATATATGTTTTCTTATCTCAGGAATTAGCACATCGATATGCTAAAAAGAATTGCATGCTCATTCAATCATAAATTTATCAGAAATAAATTTAGTTTGTTTTGTTCTTCCCATTATTTTTAAGAAAAAACATTTAACAAGTTTAAGATTTAAATCTAAGTACGTCGTTATCACTCATATGATGTCAATTTATGTTCAGAAAAGATGGGGAAAATTTTTTTTATTTGTAAGGATATTGTTCACTTTTCATTAAAATAGCGGGGGTTGAATCAGAAAGACGATGAATTCTGGGAGAGAAAATAAAGGAGAAAACAAGGGAGAAAACGGAGTTTTAAAAAATAAAAATCTTAGAAATTTGAGTTAATGATGAGTGTCATTGTGATTTGAGTGATGAATCTGGTTTTGGACTGTGAGACTGCAAACCAACTAGCAATTCTCAATGACATTTATGTTTGTAAATGGAATTTTAAGTAATACTGTAATACTCTCTCTCTTCTTTTGTAAAACTCAAATCATGAACATTTCTATATTTAATGTATTGATGATAATAATAGGAAGATGAATCACAGGGACAAAAACATGTGCCATTCACTCATTAACAATCTAATTCACTCATTACCAATCTAATCAGGTGATTGCCAAATTCAAAGGCACCCAAGGTTTTTTTTTTTTTTCCTTTTTCACAACTTCTAACCAGCAATGAGTATTGATCCATGATCCAAAAAAGCATATGAAAAGTGATGCTTGGTGGGACAATTTAGAAATTGTGCAGGACTCAATCAAGCACTTGCTCTCTCTAGCTTTTTTGCACACCATAAACAATCATAATTCTAATTTTAATTATTATAATCCTCATGTATAAAAACCCAAACCTAAAAAGAAAAAAAAAAGGATTATAAAATAAATAATTCAAAAAGGAGAGATTTATCCACTGAATAATTTATTTATTATTTAAGTATTAAATTATGAATGATAAACTTCAAAAAAAAAAAATTATGAGTGATAAAGCCCATGTTGTTTGTCTTATTGCTTAGATTGGAGGGAACAAGCATTGCACACAATGCTTATATCTATATATTCATCCTATTATAAGGTCTGCCCTTTTTGAGGCAATAGAAAATGCTCCAAATTTTTCATTGAGAAAGAATGCTGGAAATAAGGGATGATTCCTCTTGCTTTTGTGCTAATATTAAAGCAACCAAGAGTTCATCAATGGCTTCAATAATTTCTATTTTAATTGAATTGTTGAAACATTGAATCAATCACTTGGTAATTCAATGGTTGTGCTTTTATAAAAGTAGCCATATTGGTAACAAAGCTTTCTCTTCTGGAAGGGGCTGAATAAAGCAACAAAGATACATCAAAATTAAATTTTTATTTTTTTATAAACAAGATTTACGAAAATAAGAGAAGAGATTACAAATGTTGTATTTTAAATTTAATATTTATTAAACATTATTTTTTAAAAATAATTATATAAATCAATTGAATTTTAATTTCGACTTCATTATAATTGAAATTTTGGTAGCAATTCTTATGCTATGATATGCACATATACTTTTATATAATTTAAGAGATTAAAATGGAAATATACATAGCTTTTGGGGGTGCGGTTGTTAGTGCCAGCGCTAATTGTGGCAGTGATATGGAGGCATGTTTGGTTCCATGCCCCTTATTCCAACATGTACAGTGATAACAAAGTTTGATTGACACCGTAGTTACTAATTTTAATCACACTGTAAATTAATTAATTACATGGTAGAAATTAAGCTGTAAATTGTAATATAAAATTCAACACAAGTAAAATATGCATACGAATGAAATCGATGATGGAAATCATATAAGAAATCTGTTAAGATATTTTAAAGCATATTTAAATTACATGACCTTTACAATGATCAAGTTTTACTAGGTCGTGAGGTGAGAAAGAAAATTTTATTAATTTAATGATTAAATTTTATAATTATTTTTTATTTTGTAGCTTAATTATTAAATTGATAAATTTTTTGTTTTTACCTTTTTTTTCTTTCATCCTTCATATGAAGTAAAGTCTAAATGCTAGATGTATTGTAAACCCTTGAAGCTTGCCTTCCTCGTATATAGGCAAAGGAAAATCATAAAAAAAAAAAGAAAGTTTTATCATGGTAATATTCGATATGCCCCATTGGTATTATGGTAACTCATCACTCTCATCCCTTGAACGGAAAATATATACATTTATCGTTGAATTAAATATGCAAACTCAAACAATCATGATTATAAATACCTTGAGGCAAATTCATAAAAAAAAAAAAAAAATTACCTAGAGGCAAAATCAATGATTGCCCAAAATTCCTTGCTTCAAAATTTTCTTGTCACCAAAAAATCAGATTTTTCATTTCATCATTTAGTAATTTCAGATACACTGGCCTTGTATGATAAATGTTTGCCTTAAAGAATTATATAAAAAAAAAATGATACAATATTGATTTCAATTTCAAAATCTAGGCTGTGTATGATAAATTTGGAAATTTGAGTTTGTTCTTCATCGTTCCAAGTCAAAAATCTTTGAGTAGCTTCCTGACTTGCTCCAATGTGACAAAAAGCACAACAGTGAAGGGTCCCTGCCTTGAAATTGTAGGAATGAAGCCTTTATACAAGGCCATAGGCCCCTCTGCCCTCACTGTCTTTAAAGCGCAATCCAAAGCACCTGAGTAAGGCGGCACCGCCCCAGGTGCCACCTTCATATTCATCACCCTTGTTTTGATCACGTCAATGGGGTTAGAAGCCACAGCCGCCACGAATCCCGCCGCGAAGCTGGCGGTCACGTGGGTTCCAATCCCATCACTCATCACGCCCTTCTCTAGTATCATCTCCTTGATCTGATCGTAGGTTGCAAGCTGTGATGCGGTGACGATCATTGCACGGTTCACTGTAAGAGCCGAGCCACGCCACAGGCTACCAACCCCTTCTTGTTTCGTCATTTGACCTAATGCATCAATTACGCTCCTATAGTTGCGTCTCTGGTCAATAGGAAGACGCCCATCAGCTTGCATACGAACCATTGCTACGTCAGCTGGGTTGCCAACGGCTGCACCAACGCCCCCGGCAATAAGGCCAGCCACTATCTTGCTCGTAAGTGGCAAATTCCCAGTTTCTTTGTCAGTCCATTTATTTTTAAGAATATCATAAAGTCCCATACGAGTGGTGGAATATAAGGTTTGGCGGAGTATGGTGGCGGAGACGCCGGAGAAAAGGGCGGCTACGCCTTCTGATTGGATGATACGGACACCGATAGAGATGGGACCAACACGAGGCCGTGAAACGACTTGTGAGATTGAAACATTTGCAACGGCGCCGGAGTTCATGGCGAGTGCTGGACGATAAACTTGAAATGAGGGATTAGGGACATGGGATTCACCTTGAAGTTGCATCCGGACCTTGATCAGGTCAAGAGGGTGAGTGGAAGCGCCGGCAACGATTGATGCGATGCCTCCTTCGATAAAACCTTTCAAACCCATGTTTCTGTTTTTCTCAAAGCTCTTTCTCGGACAAAAAATTTGTGTATGAGGCTCTCAGAAAAGAGAAGCTATTACAGTATGAGAGATGAAAAGTTGAATGAGGATGTGTCTGAAAAAAGTGAAGGGCAAATAGATTTATATGCAGTTGAGAGATGCAGAAGACAAAAGAAGGAACTATGATGGAAACCTTCTTTGAATTATTGAATGTTAACGCGGTCATCTCACCATCTTGACTCTTCCTGCGCTGTATCCACCATCCAAAGGGCAGGGTTTGCGACCAGCCGTGTCACCTTGACTTTGACGAGTCCTTTCGCTCTTTTTGTTCAACAAGAGTAGCTACGAACGTAATAATGGCCAAGTCACCGGCTACACTTTGACCATTAGAGACATCCTTAGAATATCAATGATCTTATTATTGCAGCATGGTTTGACACTGTCCAGGTCAAGTGGGTAAGTAGGACTACTTCTTTGCAGTTCCTAATAAAGGAGTCTCAAAAATCAAAAAATAAATTGGGATTGTATATTAATGTCCTTGTTGGAAGAGATCAACTCTGCCACTGCCTGGCAGCGCTCATTTTTAGATTACTGTCATTGATAGAAGTTAGAACCCAGCTATACCAGTCGTATGACTGTTTATTCTCTCATGGTAACAGTGAGTTTGGATTAAGGGAAGAAAAAAGAAAAAAAATAAAGTAAAAAAATATAAAGGAAATAATTTTATTTTTGTTTGAATAAATTTTTAATTTAAAAAAAATGAAAGAAATAGAAATCAAATTATTTTTTATTTTTTTTATAAATTCAATTTTTTTAATATTTTAATTTTAAAAAAAATTAGGGAAAGACAAGTTGAAATTTTTTTTAATAAAAAGATTATTATGTTTATCTTTTTATTAATACTAAAAATCTAATAAAAAAATTTAAGTAGATTACAATCATCCTATAATTTTTTTAAAATCATCTTTTATTTTAAGTAAATTTCACATATCTTTTCCAATATAAAATTTTTTATAATTTTTTAGTAATTTAATTTTAATAAATAGTTAAATATGAATATATATTTTTTTTGAATTTATAAGATATCAAACTAACTCAAAATCCATAAATATATATTTGTAAAATATTTTTTTATTTCACTTAATTAAAAACTATTAATATAGTAACAATTATGAAACCAAATAAGATATCAAATATATTATAATATAAGAGTGCTCTAAAATCATAAATAATAAAATATTATAATTAAAAAAATTATTATAATAATATTTTTTTCTTTTTATCCAAATTGTTAAATTTTTTTTATTAATTTTAATTATTTAAACAAAAATTACATGTATCTTTTTTTTTAAAAAAAAAACTTTTTTTTTCTTTTCTTTTTCTTTATTAACATTTATCCAAATGTTGCTATTGCATCTACATGCGCAAGGACTTCCTTGCTCCCAACTTTACCGTAACCTATGGAAATTATGGGGCTCTAAATCATTGCTTTTAACTAATATTATAGAGATCATCTAAGACAAAGCTTGTTTGCATGTCGGTATTTCAAGATGATATTAATTGGCATTGCTTTAATTATTGTAACGAACGTTATAACAAAATTCCACTAACAATCTGGGCCAACAAGCACAAAAATAAAATCTGAGCTGGGCGGATACAAATCAACAAATAAAAAGCTAGTACAGGTACAGGCAGAAACCGCAGTGGAGTTTAACCTTATATTATTATAGAAAGTAAATAAAAAGTCGCCACTGAATAACTCTTTCATACATAAATTTGATGCTCTTACAGATATTAATATTCATGCATGCTATATCCATATATATGTTCATGGAAGGTACGTTATTCAGGGTACATATTCTCTGACAGTCACCAGCTGCCAAGCACTCACTGCAAGCTTAGGACTTCAATCTCAAAATCAAGAACTGAGTGAGGCTGTATTCCCCATGCTGGAAATCCATTAGCACCATAAGCATAGTCTGGAGAGCACTGCAAACATCAAAAAGACCCATCAGAAGCAGTATGAAAGCATGCAGGGATCAACTAAAATGATATTCTCCTATGGGTACCAAGGGAGAAGATACAAAGCATAGATGAAACACCAGTTGAAATAACTGGGGGTGAATAAAAAACCTCTTCTCTGAAAAAGGAACAAATATTTCTAATTCCAATAAAGCATTGATTTCTTGAATGTTATGAAAAACTCCCAAAATGCCAATGCATTTCCAACAAATCCAACATACATATCAGAAATTCAAGATGTCATAACTGAGGTATCAAAATACATACAGAGACAGGCACACAAATTCTTTTCTTTTAAGAAAAAGAAAAGGAGAAAACCACAAAATTTTGTGACTTGTGAGTCATCAACCTTGCACCCAGAGGTTCAATAACTACCTTTATGATAACAATCATCATTCATGCCATTAATCTAAACACTTCAACTTTTAAGTTTCAAATATGTAATTGCAGTACAACCAAGTACACTAAAAATAAATTTAGGATTCAATAAAAAAAGTACCCGAAGACGAGCAACTTCTCCCACTTGCATTCCCATCACACCTTCATCCCATCCTGCAAAATGGTTGAACAGAACAAGTTAGTTCTCCTAAATGAGGTGTTATGTACCGCATGATAACGAGCAGAGAGTATATAAACGCGGAAAGAAAAAAGAGAGATGCTATGCTATCATAGCAATCACCTCAAGAAGTAACGCACATAATCTAATTTTCAAAAAACATCAATTTTTCTTTTATTTTTTTGGTCCTTTTTCAATCAACAATTAGTTCAAACTACATGGCATACTACGGTCCTATCCCGTTAGATAACAATTGCCTTTACACAATTTCAACCGGAGAGCACCTTTTCTGAGATAAAATGGGTTTACCACCAGCCTATAAATTACAGTGATTTATAGATCATCAGGACTTAGGTTATGGTCTGAAATTACATGATTACCACAAATTGACCTTTCTTAACCAAGTTGCATGACTCTCTCAGATAAAGTTTAGAGAGCAGAAAAGGTGCAAGGTCACTAATCTAATAAGTATACATCTTAATGGGTAGAAAACCTTGAAACTTCCTCAATTCCAAAGGTCAATGGCTTCAATGTTCAACAAGAAAGAATGCACTTGGATCTATCGGAACTAAAGAGATAAGCATATTCTATACAACATTGCACTTCCTCTTAACTAAACTGCATTATATTCCAATAGGGAACAACAAAGCCTTGTGGAAACAAAAATAGAATTCAGCTATATATATCAGGTGAAAAGCAGTCAAACAACCTTAGGGGTGTTATACAAGACAATTGAGAAAATGTCATGATCCACACCAACTTATGAGGCATTGCCCGCTTCAGCTAATTGGATCTCGTGGTTTTGCCCCCATAAAAGACGTCTCACAAGTTGAAAATAGTGTGAATACTTATATGCTAAAACCGACTTTAGTACACAACCGATGTGAGATTCATAACTCTTCTCAAGGACCATGACATCCTTCCCACTCCAACGAGAGCCCACCGTTCTCGATGGTACATTGCTAATATCCAAAGCCGGCTCTAATACCAAATGTAATACCCTGATTAAATAAATATATAAAAAGTTTTATTATAAAGTCTTAAGAATTGAAGGGACCATTATGAGAACAATCTCAAATGCCAAGGAAAATTTTAATAAAAAGCAAAACATGCAAGGATCAAGGGTTAATAACCCATTTTTATTTAGGGTAGATGATATTAAGCATGGACAAAATGAAGAGATTGGGAACAACTCATTCTCTTCATTTCTTATCGTACAAAACTTGGGTTAGCCGATGGAAGATCAAAGTTTGACATCTGCATTGAGATTAGTCTCTTAAAGGTGAATAAAGAGCCTCTATTAATTTGAAGAAAACATCTTATTAAATGCTAAAATTTTTAGGATTTAACTTATGAAAAAAATTCTAAGAAATTATGAAATCTCTTATGATTCTTTATAATCTATTGAAGAAAGATTAAATATCATTTTATTCTTCAATTAAGGGCCAAGAAGGTTTATTGATTTAATTTTAAAGGCTCAAGGAAGATTCAAGGTGCTATTGATTGAAGGAAAAATCAATTTTGTGATATCAAACAAATCCTACACATTCGTGGCTTTGTTTTAAAATCTATATTAGTCCATAGATTTTCAATAATTGGGTTATATATGGTTGAAAAAAGGTTATACATGGTTGAAAAAATATGTGAGTCTACTTTCCAACGAAACATGTGGTACTGATTCTGAGTCTCTTGCGAAAAAATATCTAATTTTTATTAAAAGATATACATACTGTCTGAAAACAACCTGAATTGTGAAAATTATTGCAATTAATCTACAAGGAATTAACGTGTAAGCCATAAATGATTAGAAAGCTTATCGAGTCTAGTTTCTAGCATACTAAAAAGATCTTAATTTTCGAGTTGTATAGTTTGAAATAAGATCGTTTTAGTGAAATGAGTGTAAGTTGCTAGCATTAGTTAGTTAACTCTTGTATAATTTAGTTGTTTTAGTATAAATTGTCTCAAAAAGGGTTGATAATTTCCGATATGTTAAAATGACCTTGAATAGGTTGATAATTATTTTAGAGGAAAAAGTTAAGTGGTGGAATCAGAGATATGTAAGTATAATCTCACACACTTTACTTTTTTTCAAACCTATGTATATATGTATGCTTATTTTTGAACCTATGCATATATTTATGTTTGTTTTTTAACCTATGTATATATTTATGTTTGTTTTTGAACCTATGTATATATTTATATTTGTTTTCGAACCTATGTATATACGTTTGCTTCTAAATGAGTGAAGGTTTTATTTCTTTATTTTTGATATATAAAAATAGGATCAAGCATATGATTATTTTGCAATTTGTCATATAAATGATGGATCATGCTTATGAATGAAATGAGAAATTGATTTATGCTTAAAGAACGATTTTATCATAACTAGGGATATAAATGATACATTAGTACTCGCAAGCTACTCGGATTCGATTCGAAAAAAACTCGAATTCGATTCGATTATTGTCGAGTCGAGCTCGAGCTCGAGTAGCTCGACTTATCGATCGAGCCGAATTCGAGTATTCTTATATCTGACTCGAGTAGCTCGCGAGCCTAATCAAGCTTTTATATTTAAATATATTTTTATTATTTTAATTAATAAAATATTTCGAGTCCGAGTTCAAGTTTGAGTTCGAATTCGAGCATGAATAATCGAACTCTTGTCGAATATACGAATCGAGCTTATTTTTACATATTAATCGAGCTTAATCGAGTGAGCTCGAGTAGCTCGAATTCGATCACGAATCGAGCTCGAGCTTGAAAAATAAAACTTGATCGAGCCGAGTATCGAGCCCTGAGTTGTGAGTCGAGCTCGAGCTCGAGCTTCTCACTATTCGGCTCGGCTCGGCTCGTTTACACCCCTAATCATAACTACAAATACTAGGAAGTGGGATCATCAACACTAGAACTAATTCTACGACCCTGGCTAATAGGATACAGTAGCTAGTATAACCATGATCATACAACCCTAGCTAATGGGTTATAATAGTTAGCATATGGGCTTTGCTGATGGGTTATAATAGTTAGTAATGATCATGAGGATAAAATTGTTGATACAACCATTGTCACGGATTATGATATGACCATAGCTAAAGGATGAACTAATGATAATGATGATTTATGATGATGAATTTATGATTTTGAACATTGATCCATGATTTGTATAAAGCACGTACTTGACCATTATTTATGATTTATAATTGATGAAATGATATTTTTTGTAATGATATCAAACTTTTGAATGCTTACTTAAATGTTTTGGAAGCATAATTTGAATGATATTTCTAAATGATCTACATGTATGTATGAAAACGATACTTGATCCAATAACGTGTATGAGATTCTAATTACCTTCTTTCAATTCAACTACTTAGCTTTTCTCCCAAAATAATTAACAACATATTCAAGGTCATTTCAACATATCAGATGTTAATCAACTCTTTAAAAGGTAATTTATACTAAAACAACTAAATTATACAAGAATTGACTCAACTAACAAATGCTAGTAGCTTGCACTCATTTCATTAAAACAATCATACCTCAAGCTGTACAACTTGGAATTCAGATTTTTTTAGCACATTAAAAACTTTCTAACCATATATGGCTCACACTTTAATTCCTTGTAAATTAATTGCAATAATTTTCGCAATTCATGTCATATGCTGTGCTAGACAGCATATATACCCTCTAATAAAAATTAGATATTTTTTCATAGGAGATGAAATTCAATTCCACTTGTTTCTTTGAAAAATAGACTCACATATCTTTCTAACTATGTGTAACCCAATCAATGAAAATCTATAGACTAAGATAGATTTTAAAACAAAGTCACAAGTGTATAAGGTTTGTTATTACAAAATTGATTTTTCCTTCCATTGATAGAAACTTGAATCTTCCTTGAACCTTTAAAATTCAATCTTAATTGAAGAATGAAATGATATTTAATCTTTCCCCAACAGATTATAGAGAATCATAAGAGATTTCATAATTTCATATATTTACTCCCATAAGTTAAACCCTAAAAATTTTAGCATTTAACAAGATATTTTCTTCACATTAATAGACGCTCTTTTCTCACATTTAAGAGACTAATCTCAATGCAGACTTTGATTTTTAATCGTCAATTTTGATCTTCCAGCATTTTGTATGACAAGAGAAAAAATGAAAAGAATGAGTTGTCCCCTGTTTCTCCTTTGTGTTGGTGCTTAATATTATCTATGCTAAATAATATTGGGTTATTTAACCCTTGATTCATTGCATGTTTCTCCTTTTTATTAAAATAATCCTTTGCATATGAGATTATTCTCAATGGTCCCTTAAATTCTTAAGACTTTATAATAAAGTCTTTCATATATTAATTTAATCAGGATATTAAAAAAAAAAGTTTTACTAGAACACAAACAAAAAATGTAAAATTTTGGTGTGTCAAACTGTCCCACCCACCTCAAAACCAATACATTCACATTCATAAATCAAAATATACGCAAAAAAATAAAAATAAAAAAAGCAGTCAATGAAATGACAAGAAATAAGCTTTCAACTTTAGGAAAAAAAAAAACATCAAAACTTGTGGCATATATGCATGCAATTCAGTAAGATAGAGACCAATTACCTTTTATAACAGAACCCTTGCCAATTTGGAAAGAGAAAGGCTCCTGTCCTTTATCCTTAGTGCTAAAAATGACACAAACAGAGAAATAATTAATATAACTCAATGGTAATAGAGTTGTATAAGAAAACCCAATTTGTCACTCTGGTTGAAAACACCACTCACCTCCAGAACTTCTCAGACAGATCCCCATTTTTACCTGTACCAAGAATAAAAATACAATTGACACCAGCAAACAAAGAAACAAAAAATAGCATCAAAGAGCAAGCAAATTTTTAATCAAATTTGCACTTTTAGAGAAAACCCTTTGATTAAAGAAGAAAATATTGATGACTGAGAAATCCGAAACAGGTTTTTTTTTCAGCCACAGCGAAAAGTAAGAAATATAAAGGAGCAATAAAGAGAGTGGAGAAAGAGAAATAGTAACCGTAGCCGGTGCAGTGAACCGTGACGGTCTGACCAGGGGTGGGTTTGGGACCTGTTCCAGGCCTGATGACTTGCTTCTCCACTCCCATTTTCAGCTTTGATGATCAACGTTAGGGTTTCGTTTCTGTTGTCGGTGGCTTTATCTACTTATGCTTTTGCTGTAAAAAATGTCAATAAATATAGTCGAGATTCGAGAAGCCCGTAGGCCGTAGCCTAAAGCAGATTGGTGAACCGGTTACTAGTAGTTGAGGTGTTCATGCATCCCAGTCGAATCGGCCCAAGCCCGATTAATGGGATGAGCAATTTTCGATAGAAAGTAAATTAATGAAATTAAGAAAAATTAATCAAAGAAATTTGACTATTCGATTAAGAAGTGAGGTGGATCAAAATTTTGGTTTTTAAAATATTTAATCAACAAAATTAACTGATCTAGTATATGAATTATTATAGGCAAATAATCCATAATTGTTCAAGGTTGAAGCCCATTATGTACAAGTACAGTAGCCCTATACACACTAATCCAGGTCTAATTGCCTTTTAAAAATTCTTGTCCAAAATTTGACGAAAGAGGTTAAAATTTTGAAAATATATATTAAAATATGAATTATTTAAGATTTTAAAATTAAAATTAAATAAAAATAACTACTTAATAGTAAAAAGTTCCGAGCCTAGTTAGAAAATCTTGCCCATGGAGAGAACAAACTAATAACCAGCACGTCCTTTTTACACATTGTTGGTAAACATTTACCGTTTCAAACTTGCTGATCAGTTTAAAGTTTCTATTCGAAGATAACTGATGTGTGGTAGCTCAGTAGTAACAGATGATCGGCATGCCCTGAAATTCAAAATGAAAGAAACAAGTAGTGAAACAAAAGGTAAAAACAGGAGGAATCAATGTTTTGGTCAATAGTTAGTCAGACATGGGGTTCCATTCCAGCTGCCAACATTAATTCACTGATTCAACAGTTTATCAAAGTTTTAGTGATTCAACTTAATTCGGATTGCTCAGTTATAGCGTCAGGAGTGATCTGCTGGTGACGTATATCAGCTAAGTTAATCTATCTCATTTTCTCATGAAACCATAATCAAGCAATGGACAAAGACCCAAACTGAAAATAATAGATCAGAAAGTTCGATTTGTTGAAGCAATGTTGTGCAAAAACGAATTGTCCTCTACATTGATGTCTGGAGACCACATTACTGCCATTCATCACCGATCATCATCATGGGTAGATGATCCTAATCATGGTATTGACGAGAACTGGGACATGTCGACAGCGACAGAAAACCATAATTTGCAACATATTAATGGAAAAGTAAATGTGGCAGTTGCCCTGAACATTCCAAAAAAGTTTGTCACACCGTTGAATCTAAGTAACTAGCTAGGTTAACCTCAATCTACAAGCAGTAAAACCAATATTTCAAGCTATTAAAAACTGTAGTAAATGAGGAAAGTAGTACTACGCCTCCTTGATTCAACTAAACTTTTGTTGAAGAATTACTGGCCATTCATGGAAGTAAATTCACCAAACCCAGAGGCCAACTTCTATCATTTAACTCGGTATTTAACATTTTCTGGCACTATAAAAACCCAATCCGGGTCCTTATGTGTTCACTTCAAAGCCATCTTCGTTTCATTTCTTTAATATCTATATATAATATATCTAAGTCAGTCTGCTTAATATTTGGAGTCCAGTGATGGCCAATTCCAATCTCCTTGTTTTAGCTTTCTTTATCGTACTGTCATTTTCAGGCATGGATGTAGCTCAAGGGGCGGCTCGCCGTCTTATGCAGACAACCCCAATATTTCCAAACCTGCCTCCGTTTCGTGGCTTCTCATTTCCTCCTTTCAACGGACCCTACCCGGAGTACAGGTTGCCTCCATTTCCAGCAATTTCAAATGTCCCTCCCGCCACTGGCTTACCCTCGTTCCCCTTCTTCCCTACTCCACCAACATTGCCCAACACCACCCCTTAATAAATTACCATCTATAAGCACTGATTTAAAACTATTACTACTGATGTGTGCAATTTCTATATAATTAGTACTAATTAAATAAAGGTTAAAGTGTGTGTAGGGTTGGTCTGATCACTCATCCGAGTCGTTTTGCTTTTTCTGATATCTCTGCTGGAAGCTTTGGCGGCTCTTTGTTTGCTTTGGATCATATAATCAGACCACTGTATCTGTCTAGTTGATTAATGCTCTTAGCAATTAATGTAAAACATGGCCTTCCTTCCACTCTCTTTGTAATTTTATATATTTATATGGGAATGAGAATCTAAATCCTATTATGTTTTTATTTTTATATTTGGATCTTTTCTTTCTATTAATTAATTGTTAATGTTATTATTTCACTTTTTTAAAGGCTACAGCCGCTTTCCTAACTAAACATATTAAAAAAGCATTTAGACGAGCGAACATGCAATCAAATCCTGTTTATCTTTTATTATTATTATTATTATTATTATTATTAGACTGATATTTTTTATTAAAAATTCATGTTTACCCAAAAGCAATATTCCAATCAATAATAGTACTCTCTTTGTCTCATTTATTTTAATTTTTTGAATGTTTCAAAATTATATTATTTTTTTAATATATAAAACTTTTATTTTTTATATTAAAAATTATGAAATTTTAATTTATAAAAAAAATAATTTTAATATGAAATATATTAAAAGTAAAAAAAAAATTTTGTTAAACTTCTTACAAATCAATACTAACCAAATAAATTGGGATGAAAGGAATAATAGAATACTTCTTCTCTTCTGGTTAACTCAAATTTCATTCATTCATTTTGGGCACAAGAAGTAACTCGCACGATTGCTTTGTGTGCTGTATTTAGGAAGTGGTGAAGTTTAGGTAACCAAACGAGACAATCAAGTAGATATAAAAAGGAAGATCGAAGATTATGTTTTTGTTTCAATATATAAAAGACAAAAAAAAAAAAAAAAAAAAAACAGGGTTAGAATTAATGGTTTATTTTGCCTTGGATCTATCAATCAATTATGGCAAATTTAACATAATAAAAAAATTTAAATTTAATTCAATTAATTTATATAAATATTTTTAAAAAATAATATATTATAGATATTCCTTTTGAAAAAAAAAACGAAATTGACAATTTACATTTTAGGTCAAAGCAATACTAAATTGATGCCACTGCTAAATATTGTATCCTAGTTTTCTGCCCGCAAAATTAGGTGGATCATTAACCTATTTTGGCCAAATTTATAAATCCAATCTTTTAAAAAAAAAATTTTTTTTTATAAACTTCGTTTATGCACGCAGTGAATTTCAAAATTTTCTTACTCACTTTTATATAATAAAACTATATTTATGACAAACAATTTTACCCAGTGAAATTTGATGTATTTGACGCTGGCTGATCTGTCCCTTTGTCCATATCGGTCCAATAATTTAAAGCCTCACGTCCAAAGCATCAAATCTGATAACATTATCTTATATTTTAGTAGGGAGACAAATTTGCTTCACCAATTTATGTGGGTCAAGATAAAAAGGCAGCTTTAGTACAAAAATGAGGCCGCACCGACAGAAGAAACTTCACTTTACTGGACGCTTGCATCACGGGCTTAAAAGTGTGCAGGCTGTGACAGTGACACATGTCAACAGTTACCATTACTGTAAGTTTCTCCTGTCATTTACCTTTGCCTCTTCCATTGAGTTTTCGGCCGATCTAATAATTTATATTAGAATGTTACCCCTGCTTCTCATGGGCATTTTTTTTTTTATAAAAAATAATTTAAAAAATTTTATCTTTTTTAATTTTTAAAATTTTTAGATAAAAAAAATAGAGTTTGAAAATTTTATGTTTAGAGTTTTTTATATAGTTGTTATTGTTAATTTTTTTGTAATTTATTAAAAAATCTTAAATATAATATTTTTAGGTTTTTAATTATATATTTTTTGTTTTTAAAAGACATTTTTTAAAATATTTAAATATTTTGATCTGATAAATTTTAAAGAATTTTTATTATTTTTTGTGAGATCTTTTAGTTGATTTTAATGTAGGTTATTTTTTCAATTAATTCTTTTCAATAAAAAATGCATGATTATTTACATAAGTAAGACTCAAATATGTTTTTTTATTATGAAATTAGTTATTATTTTTTTAATTTTATTATATATAAAATTATGTATATAGATTGTAATGGAATGTTTGAATAAAAATTGAAAAGAAAAAAAAAGTCTTTGGATTCAATATAGAAAATAGAGATTAATAATGTTGATTTGAACCTTTCATTATCATTCACATGCATAATGGATTATAATTAATTGTTTTTTGGGCTTTGAATTTTTTGTTGAAAATGTTATATTATTGAGTTCTTATTGATATATTTATAAACATAGGCATGAAGTTTCCATAAATCCATTCCTCCTATTTATTTCCTCTATTTTCGAACATTTTTAGGTTTCTTACATGATACAATCTTTACATCATAAATTATAATATATATTTTGGAAGTTAGTAAATAAAAAAAAATTGTCCAATCAAGTTAAATTGAATATGTGCATCTATTAATTTTGGATATAAGATCCCATAACTATTTTCAAATCTAAACGTAAATTTCTTTTTTATTTTTGTTTCAAATTGATTTTTTAATGATTTTATTATTATTTGTAGGCATTAACTATCTATAAAATCTTACAAAAATACAAAATTTTAATTTAATAACTACAACATGTTACATCCTATACGGTACGTGTATGTTTTGTTAAAACAAAATGTATGATTGTATCTATTTTTGCATAAATTAATTATATTATACTATTTGATATAATTAAATTTTAATCATTTGTTCATTGTAAATCAATTATAATTTTTTTTTCATTTAGTTTTATTTTATAATAATTATTCAAAAAATAAATAATAAAATACACCAATAAAAGGGAAAACTTAAGTGATCAGGATTTAAAAAAAATAAATAAAAGCAATGCGCATTTACCTGTTGGCCAATTTGCAAATTGAGGTCTCTAAATTGAGACCAAGGAATGGTGGGGAAGCTCCGTTATAAACAACCATAAAACATTATAAAAAAAAAAAAGAAAAAGAAAAAAAACAGCTGGCATCTTTGGAATTCCTCAAGATTCTTTTTACATGGGGTATATAGATACTCCTACGGTATAGTGAAAAAGACCAGCGATTGGAAAAAGGAAAAGATAAAGACG